TTGGAATTGAAGCTGCCTGCTTTGCTTACTGGTTTCACTTGCAGTTGGGCAGTTTGTGTGCTGGAGGAGGAAACTAGTAGTGCAGTCTACAGCATAGATATGGGCATCACTTTTATTTCTATTGCACAAAAGGATCAGAGTACAGTGGTAAATTTTAAATTGTGTCCAGGAAAGAAACGACTACATTATCCCATTAACACAGCTGTGACTCTTTGTAAGCAGCTGCACACGCAGCATGCTAGCCACAGCTAGTCAAGAACCCGAAGCTGAGTGAATGCTGACCCCAGCCCAGCAGCCAGACCCTGAACTTCAGCAAAGTGATGAGCAGTCAGGCTGCAGCTTCTGTGTCATATGTCTAAAGTAGAATTACTGTGGGCTGGGTTTAATCTTTGCTTTGTGCTGTTGGCTTTATGTTCACACATAAATACTAAGAGAAATATCATCTCTGTCTTATTAGGATAGGGATTTGTGTTGCTGTGTGGGACTGTAACCCATAGGTTTATATTATTAAAAGGTAATTATGAGATAATACATTTCATCTTATTTTACAGAAAAAAACCCTTTCTCCTGGGAGTAATAACTGTACTGCAGAACTGTTCTGTGTAATGTGTAATACATTACTTTTTTAAAATGACCTCAAAGCTGATACCTCCAACATGCAACACATTTGACCACACAGCATGCAGTTAATTTGCACAAATGTCTAATAGCCAAGGTGCTGGGGACAGAAGACCTCTACGACTACATAGACAAATACAACATTGAGCTGGAACCTCGCTTCAATGACATTCTTGGCAGGTACTAGGTTCAGCTGAATTATTGTTAGCAAATACACCTGCGGGGGGGTCGACGGGGGGGGTGTCATGCTGTCAGGTAAATCTGAGATGGGTCAAATTGGAATTTCTTCATGGTTTGTGATGTTCCAGTCAGAAACAAACACAACCAAACTCCACAAAGACTGAATTCATTTAAATATCCACATGAGAACAGAGCAATACAAAGAATCAATGTGAATAAAATTGTATTTATATTGCACATTTTAAGTTAAATATCACAGTTCAAAAGAAGAGTTTTAGCTGCTGGGTGACTGATGATCCACTGAGTATATCTTCTCCACTCCCATCTTGTTACTCATTCATGTGTGTGTACCCATTTTGGTGGCCACAAAACGTTACAGAGGTTTGTAATCGGATAATCTAAAGCATAGGTGTCAAACTCTGGCCCGCGGGCCATTTTTCAGCAAAACTCGTTTGAGTCAATAAGAAAAGATTGATTCTTATATCTGGAGGAAGATTTCAATAAATATTAATGTTAGCCCGCGACTTTGTTCCAGTTTTGAGTTTTGGACAACTGTGATCTAAAGTGTTTACTGTTTTGTGTTTACATGCTGTAAACGAATACAAACACAAGGCACTAATCTCCTCTCCCCCCCACCCCAAAATAGGCATTCTCGTAAGCGGTGGGAGCGATTTGTCCACAGTGAGAACCAGCACCTGGTCAGCCCCGAGGCTCTGGATTTCCTAGACAAACTGCTGCGCTACGACCACCAGGCCAGACTCACTGCCCGCGAGGCCATGGATCACCCATACTTCTGTAAGCCCTCACCATCACCTCTGTGTCTATCTATAGTTATTTATTTCTTCTGCTAACAATAAAATGAAGGTTGCCATGACAAGAAGTAATTTATTTATTGTTTCTACAGTCCCTATTGGGAAAGATCAGTCTCGTGTGACCGGATCAGCCAACCTACCCAGTGGGAACCCTGCTGTTAGCACAGCAAACATGATAACTGGTGAGAACGCGCACTTATACTGATAGTATACTGGCCTACAATTTAAATCCCCATGCCTTTTAATCCATCAAAGTTTCTCTTTAAAAAAACAAAACTTACGGGTTTGTGCATCCTTGTGCTTTAGGTTTACATTTTCCTCAACCAATATGGCAGAGTTATTATGCATTAGCTTCATTAAGATGCATGTCAAAAATCTGGATGTCCTACAGTACAACATCCAAATCTTCAGTTTACTGTCATGTAATGGGCCGATCGTGGCTCAAAGAGTTGGCAGTTCGTCTTGTAACTGGAAGGTTGCCGGTTCGAGCCCCGGCTC